CGTGCAAAGGTCAACACACAAGAGTCACATTCTATTTTGTGTAAAGTGACCATTTTGCTGCTGCTTTCCTAAGAATAAAGCAAATATCCACAATAAAATTGTATTTTGATGAGGACTCCTAATGCTTTAAACACACATAAACAATAAGCAAACAAAAATCAGTGTATTTTAAATAGATGAACACGATATTCATTAGTGTTCACATTGAGTATCAGTAGGTTATTGTAATTTTCCTATTTTCAGCTGCGGCTGTTTAGTTGCAGTGCACACCCTTTTGCACAGATGAAGATGAAAGCTTTCTCAACAGAGATGCAAATTGAAAATGCACTCAAAATTGCCATGAGAAATTTGCTTTCTATAAAGAAGTCAGTTTCCCGCTCTGGAGTTCCAACTCCCAACATCAATTTGTATTTGTTAATGCAGCATACACTTTGTATACTTTCTCCGTTATTCCTGAAGGACTCTTCTGTGGGTTACATCCAACTGATAAAATAGTTCTGTAAATGAAAGACATTTTCTTGTTCAATACTTCGTTTTATTCACTAAGCCGAAGATTTTGCATGTGCTGTAGAAAGTTAGTAAAATTTGAAGCAAATATCCCCAAAGATAATCTTAGCAGTACTGTCGGAACTGCTTAACTAGTAGTAAAAATTAAAGGTGAATACCCCCTACTTTGTTAATGAAGCAGAGATGCTGTATCATAATGTGTGTTAACATTTTCTTGAGGAATCACTTAAACTTTTAAAAACATTTTTTTTTTCACTTAGTGTAATTTTAATTCACTTCTATATTCATTCTGTCTGTGAAAGTATCTAAAATCTAGAAATATGAAAATGTATCATCTTGTTGCATCTTTTTATATTTTAAATGGGTTATATTTTAGGTTTTGTAGATTCCTTTTAAGAGAATTTGATTTAAATTTTCAATGAAATTACAGGTTGAGTTATATTTATCTCTAATTATTTTAATCCCTTATATATCATCTTAAGAAGGATAGGCTGTTTTTTAAATATATATATAAAAAGAAAATTGGCCTTCTATGTCATGTCAGTGCTTATTAAACACTACAATCATAAGAACATGTATATTACAAGATTTTATGTTCTGATTCCCTAGCTGCTATAGGCTTAGTATTTGCAGTATTTATTTAGTGATGATGTATTTCTTTTCCTACTTTGCATTTCAAAGGTCTCCTCTAAATGATTGTTTTATAGAACTATCAAGAGGTTATCTATTTTTTTTTTTCCATCAAATACTACACAATACCAGAAGGTAGTTATCATAGTTTCTTTCAGTCCATGTATATTCTTTCTATTGAAAGCATTAAATGGAAATCCATTAAAAATAAAACAAATGTTTTATCAAATAATTTGAATTAAGCCTGAATGAATTTTGACCTAGGCAAAATTTCAGGCTCAGTAGTGAGCTCTTGTGTTCCATAGCATGAGATTAAAATATTTTTATTTGCAAAATATATAGTAGGCGCTTTTTTGTTCCCAAAAATATATTCTTGTTTCCTTGGTGCAGTTGTAATTAAGCTGTTGCAAAGTGATTTATTTTTCCTTTGACAATGCTTCCTTATAAACCTAAAAAGCAATCATTTAAGCATCTAATATTACAAAAAGAAAGATCTAGGAAAGGTACTAGTTGCTTTTCAAAGAAGAAATTGCAGAAAGACTTCCAAATGATTCAAAAAAATCTACAAGGAAAATGCAGTTGTTTGTTACAAGTTTTACCAATGTGTAAATTTATCCAACAAATTAAAATATACTTACTATATTTTGATTAAAAAATGCTTATTTTCATTACCTGTCAGGGAAATAAAGCTGAGATTTGCTGTTATACTGTGATTTTATTCTTGTCAGGGTTAACAGAATCATTGAGAATGCTTTTTAAATTAGATGTCATTTTCTTGATAAGAATGAAGAAGAGCCAGGACTCTGTATCTATCAGCTTCAAATAATTTGCGTTTTTTTAAAACACTGGGATATATTAATTGCTTTGTTTCTTTATGCAGTAATTGCTTGCACCTGCATTTTTTTTACAAGCTTTAAAAGTAATAAAAATAGTCATGTAAGTATATTGTATAGCATAAACAGTTTTACGTTCAAAATTTTATTCTTCACTGTTGAAATTTTCTTTTTCTTTGGGCAGTGCTTGTGGGCAGATTTTACACAAACTGGAACACAATGCATTCCAAGCTACCCCCAAGCCCTCTTTTTAAAACAAAAAGAAAACAAACAAACAAACAACCCCCCCCCCCCCAAAAAAAAAAAAAAGTGTGCCTTTAAAATTTCTAAACTCCAGAGGATGTTAGAACATGGCCCCTTATGGAGAAATCTTAGCACGTGAGGCCGCGGTGGCTGCGGTAATCATGCATTCGGCTGGGCCTTTTCCTAAGGAAGTTACCTTCCTCATTCCGTTTTCGCTTGCCTTCCATTCTTCCTCTAGCTAAATAATTTCACTTACAAACTTTCAAGGAGAGAAGAGAGCTTGACCTAAGATACGCTGCATACAAACTGCAGGCTCAGATGTCTCTAGGGGGTAGAGCCGTGCACATCCCACCTCTCCCACACAGCAGTTCTTCATACTCCCCTACGCAAGTGCAGATGTTTTATTAGCTAACGATTTATAAAATATAACCAGCCCTGGATATATTGGTCTAGGTAGCAGCACTTACAGGAACGTATATAATTCAGTAGCAATTTACACAGGCACCGAATCAACCCCGCCAGCCTTGCGAAATCAGCCTTACAAAATCATCGCGGGAGTAGACGGTCTTCATGCTAATTCTGCTTCCCGGCCTTTGAGGGGGATAGCAAAGATAAAGCAGTGCTACCTTAGCCATCCAATGCTAAATAAATAAATAAGTAAATAAATAAATAAATAGATAAATAAATACTGGCCCCGGGGCAAGCAAGTGAGCCAAACTTAGCAAGGCTGTGTTTAATTTCTCACATTTTTTTTTGCAATTAGTTCCTTCTGCAGCAGATAGACCCGCTTTCATGGGAGAATGCCACAGCCTGAGATTTCCTCTCTGCTGCCCACCTCAGCTCTTGACCCTCCCTCTTTTTTTTTTTTTTTAATGAAAAGACAGTAAGAAATGAGAATATATGTATGTATTTTTATATATAAACCAACACACACACAACTTCTAGGAAGGCCTGCCCACCTCTAAGCAGATGTGGTGCACAGCTGCGTTCAAGAGAAGCGCTTGTATTTTGGTCTGCCAGGTTTCCCCGCTTGCCCCGTCGTTACTCAGCATCCCTTCCCTGCGGAGCTGCATCCGCATGGGAAGTTTTCGTGGGAGAAAACGGCCACTGAAGGCCGAGCAACCAAACAGTGGAAGTTCCGTGAGGGAAGGGGTGAGGGGCAGCAGTGCAAGAGCACCGAGGGCTCCATCCTGCAGGCGCACCGAGGGGATATAAACAGGATAATAAAAGTTGGGAGCGGGAACGCGTTAGTGCCGCAGTCACATCAGGGGGAAAATAAACAAGACAGTAAAAACCCTTTCTGCGGGGCGGGAGGGGAGGATACGGGAGGGTGGGCGCGGGGGCGAGGGCTGCA